GTTTTTGGAGCTATTAAACTTTTTGAAACTGCTTTCAGTCTCCTGCTATTGTTGGTCTAGACTACAGCCCCCAACAGAATTATCTGGCACACATGGACCCTGCAGAGACTGAGCAGCTGAAACAGGTTCTGTCCTCTCATTAGTCAACATGAGGCCACACTCAGGAGAGTCATGGAGACTCTCCAACAGCTCACCTCCAATGTGATGCAGCTCAATGGGCGGCTGGACCATGTGGCAACCCAACTCACCAGCATCATGACCACCGGCAGTCCTCCACCTCCACCAGCACCACCTACTGCTCCACCTGTTCTTCCGTCTCCCATGCCCTGTGAGCCCTTCGTCCCAATCCCTGCCAGGTATACTGGTGACCTAGGATCATTCTCTCAGTTCCTACACCAATGCTCACTTGTCTTCAGTCAGCAGCCAGCTACATATTCCACAGATCAATCTAAAATAGCTTTTATTATGAGTCTGTGTGCTGATAAAGCCTCCACCTGGGCGTTAGTCATCTCCCACCATAACCCTTTCTTGTGTTCAGATTTCCAAGCCTTCACTTCTGAGATGTGTAGGGTTTTTGATCACCCCGTTAAAGGTAAGGAAGCAGTCAGCCGGTTATTGTCACTGAGCCAGGGAAGGAACTCAGTTTCCCAGTATGCACTTGATTTCCGTATTTTAGCTGCAGAGTGTGGGTGGGATCAGGCAGCTTTACAGGGAGTGTGTTTTAAGGGGTTGTCTGAAGAGATAAAAGATGAGCTAGCTGCCAGGGATGAAACTAAATCATTGGAGGAGCTTATTCAGCTGGCTACTCAACTAGATAATAGACTCAGGGAAAGACGTAGGGAGAAGGCAGAGAGGCAGAGGGCCAGTTTCTTCTCCCCCACTGCTAGTCCTCAAAAGCAGCTTTCCCGCTCACTGCCCTCAACCTCCCCGAGAGTCTCCCACGGTCCCCCTGAGGATACCACACAACCATCTGCCAACGTTGAGGAGCCCATGCAGCTGGGTCGAGCCAGATTGACTCCAGCTGAGAGGCAACATCGTTTCCGCCTTGGTTTGTGCTTCTACTGTGGCCAGGAAGGCCATCCCCTGGCCAAGTGTCCGGTTCTGCCAAAAGGGCAGGCTCATCAGCCAACAGGGGGGCACTGGTGAGCCACACTTCCTCTACCTCAAACCCCTCCAAACGCATCCACGTCCAAGGTATGCTATGCTGGTCACATGACACCTTACCCATTCAAGTTTTGGTAGACTCAGGGGCTGATGATAGTTTCATTGATTATGAACTCGTTAGCCAGGCTAATATTCCCATTGTACTGCTTCCTGAACCCAAGGATGTTCTAGCACCTGATGGCAGGCAGTAAGCCAGAGTTACCCACCAAACTGAATCATCATGAGACAATAGAACTGTGTCATCTCCTCACCCATGTCACCTGTTGTATTAGGGCTACCTTGGCTCAAGACTCATAACCCACTAATTGACTGGTCCACTGCTTCCATAGCTAACTGGAGTGGTTTTTGTCATGCAAACTGTCTTCGTTCAGCCATACCCACCAGCGTTTCCATCTCCCCGAGCCACCCTGAGGAGATTGATTTATCAGCTGTCCCCAGTGAGTATCATGACCTAAAGCACGTTTTCAGTAAGAACAGAGCACTCACATTACCTCCACACAGACCTTATGATTGTGCCATTGACCTGCTCCCTGGTTCTCTTCTCCCCACTAAGAAGCTGTATAACCTCTCCAAGCCTGAGAAGGAAGCCATGGAGACATACATCCAGGACTCTCTGTCAACCAGTCTAATTCGTCCCTCATCATCTCCTCTGGGGGCTGGATTCTTCTTTGTTGAGAGGAAAGACAAGTCACTACGCCCTTGTATAGACTATACAGGCTTGAATGACATTACAGTTAAAAACAAGTATCCCTTTCCTCTCATTGACTCAGCATTCGGCCCCCTTCATGACTCTGTAATTTTCACCAAACTGGACTTGAGGAACGTATATCACTTGGTGAGAATTAGGGAGGGGGACGAGTGGAAGATTGCATTTAATACTCACCTTGGTCACTTTGATTATCAGGTAATGCCTTTTGGGCTAACTAATGCACCTGCAGTTTTCCAGGCCTTAATTATTGATGTACTCCGAGACATGTTAAATCGATTTGTTTTTGTTTATCTTGATGATATTCTGATCTTCTCCAAGAGTGTGGACGAACATGTCAGAACTGTGTTGCAGAGGTTGCTGGAAAATAAGCTCTATTAATCCCCCTGAGGGGAACAACATAAAGTTTATAAAAATTGAATTAAATTAAAGTAGACAAATGTGACTTCAGTGTGTCAACAGTTTCTTTCCTGGGCTTTATCATTGAACAAGGTCAAATTAAACCAGATCCGGACCAAAATCAAGGCCGTCGTGGAGTGGCCAGTTCCAGCCACTCGCAAGCACCTTCAGAGGTTTTTGGGGTTTGCCAACTTCTACAGACAGTTTATTAAAGGGGCAAACAGCGAAATCGTTTCACCACTAGGTCTGCTGTTGTACACTGCCTGTAGACCAAAACAAAGTGTGTCATGAGCCACACCTCCCTCTACCTCTGCTCTAGCCCCCCCCTCCCCCCCCGCCTCGTCTGTGCAGTCGAGCACCGCAGCATCTCCACGGACTATTACATCCAGACGGTCCGGGTGTTTCTTCCGCAGGCTCCACTTCACTCAGCTTCACTCAGCTGCCCGATAAACCCACTGCCTCTTCCCACATTAACCTGAATAACAAACCAGGGCTCAGTGGTTGGATCCAAACGGAGAGCCGGGGCTAGCTGGGAAGCTAGCGGAGGCTAACTGGCTGTGCTGGCAGCTGAGTGAAGTGGAGCCTGAGGAGGAAGCACCGGTTAGCCCCGGTTTCACTACAGGCAGATTCACTCGCCACAGGGGCGAGGAAATAAAACCTAAACAGCCAACTTAGTTTGGCTTACTTTAGCAGTTAGCAATGTCTTTCACTCACTCTCGGTCTCTGCTGTGTTTAGCTATTTCCCTGCTTTCCTGTTAGCGTTAGCACAAGTCGGCTGCCACGCAAACGATCCTACTCTTCTTCGTGGCGGCTCACGGCTCCAGCTCACGCAGAAGAATAGGAACGTTAGTGTTAGCTCCTGGACTTAGCACTAGAGCTACTACGGCTACTGGAGTAACTTACAGCTATGGAGTGCTTCTACCAGCTCTTCTAGTCACTGAGCCTCGCCTCCATCTCAGCAAATATATTACATTTATTACAGGTACCATCATCATTGAAGTAGGCAGGGGAATAGCTAAACACAGCCCGCCATGCTGCCCGCTGGGCTACATTTTACAATGCTAATTGCAAATGTTAGCTGGGCTGCCGGGCTACTCACCTGACACAACCGTAACGCCTGACCCATTGCTGGGACCGAGACGCTAATAACTCAAGCTCCGGACATTAACCCATGCTAAGATTGTAACATTAAATTTAAATGAATCGACATAGCGACATGTGCCTAACGTTACTGTAACACTAATTAAAACAGACATTTGACTCCGCCATTTCACTTCAAAAATATGCACTGCCATTGCTCACTGGCTGTAGCCTTTTATAGGGAGGGAGGGCCAAGGGCTCCGAGAGGGCGGGTGGGGGGGTTTCACATGAACGTACATGAACATGCAGCTGGACCGGCTTGTAAACAAGGGGCTGGAGATCAACACAGAGAGAGGGTGTGTGAGGTCATGCTATACTCCAGATCAAATTACACCTCTAGTTCTTCACATGGCAATTTTTTTAATTCCTTCAATCTAGAAATGATGAATTTCGCTTATTGCCCCTTTAAGAACTATAGCAGGTTGGCAGCCCCACTCACTCAGTTGACCTCAGTAAAAAACGTCTCCAGCGGCCCAGGCCGCATTTGATAACCTTAAGAAAATGTTTTCCAGTGCTCCTGTTCTAGTGCACCCTGATCCAGAACTGCAGTTCATTGTGGAGGTTGACGTCTCAGACTCCGGAGTGGGTGTCATACTCTTCCAGCGATCCCCTGATGACCACAAGCTCCACCCCTGCGCCTTCTTCTCTCAACACCTCTCTCCAGCTGAGAAGAATTACGACGTAGGGAACTGGGAGCTATTGTTGGTCCAGACTACAGCCCCCAACAAGACCACTCTCTTGAATAAAGATAGGGATAAAGCTCCATACACCAGAAGGAACCCAGCATCAGTGTAAGGTCTGACAATTGCTCTTAGAATTTCATCCTGGTATGTTACAGCAGTCAGGGTACCATTGGCTATGACATGGAAGTCTGCGATTCTCCAGAGATTTGCCTCCCCAGACCATCACTGACCCACCGCCACAGCAGTCATGTTGGATGATGTAAAAGGCAGCATCACATTCACCACAGTATCTCCAGACTCTTTTCAACCTGTCACACATGCTCAGTGTGAACGTGCTCTCATCTGTGAGGAGAACGGGGCACCAGTGGTGGACCTGCCAATTCTAATGTTCTCTGGCAAATGCCAATCGAGCTGCATGGAGCTGAGCTGTGAGCACAGGTCCCACTAGAGGACGTTTGGCCCTCATGCCACCCTCATAGAGTCTGTTTCTGACAGTTTTGGTCAGAAACATGCAGACCAGTAGCCTGCTGGAGGTCATTTTGTCTCTCTGTTGCACCTGTTGCCACTTTCATTTGCACCAAAGCAGGTGAAACTGATTCACAATCACTTGTGCTTCCTAAATGGACAGATTGATATTGCTTAAGTTTAAGTGACTTGGTGTTATACCGTGACAATAAAGTGTTCCCTTCATTTTATTGTAAATCATTCTGTAGACACTACATACAAACAGATGGTGCACATCTTTAGTCATTATGCATACAGTCGTTTTGCAGATGTGGGCTGGGGGCTGACACTTTGGACCCCTGGGCCCTGACCCGTCAAGCCTGTTCAATTATCCATCCATGACTTGCTCATGCACTGCTCAGATTTCAGTGAAAGGACTTGAGCACAAGTTGGTTTATTCATCATCACTTTTGTCATTTCAACTGTTTTATTTCATTATGTCAAATACAGGAATTTCATGTACAGAAGAGCAACTGGGAACTAGAGAATGAAGAAGCTGTACAATATTTACACATCAAAACAACAAAATTGCTCTGCAAGAATATCCTCTGAGAGGTCAAATAATAGGAAATATCAATCAACAACAAACAGATAAAAATGACTAACATTAAACACTGACATTTATGCTTTTGGATCATTTCACCTCACACTTCCTTCAGGAAAGTCGTGCTTTATTTTTTTTCATTCCACGTCTTTACAGGCATTAAATCTTCTCTGTTGTTGTCTTTTGAAGAACAAACAGAAAAAAAAACACAGCTTGGTTTTAAATACATTTTCCCACAGTCTTAACTGTTTTCTAACTGAGGCAGGTAGAAACGAGAGACTATCACATAGTCCTTTTAAACCTCACTCAACCCTAGTTTTACCTCTGTCACTCTGAGAGAAGCAAATCATTGCAGGTGGGCCATTTTATCTATATCCCTTTAAAACATTTTTCAAAAATAATCACAGCAAACTATCCCATCTTAGAATGGTCATTTTTGGAAATGTCCTTGTATAAATTATACAAACCAGTTGTCAATGCATATTTATAGACAACTTGTGTGTGTTTGTCAATATTCTGTAAATCTTGACAAAAATCTCTTTTGTAGTGCTGACCAAATTATCATATGGTCCCTTTTAGGAAAACTCATCACATTCACGTAGTTCACTAGCCTCAATCTTTCAATATGTTTCTTGAAATAAAGATGTACTTTAACATGGACTCAATAATAAAACAAACACCCTAAAAGTTAAACCTCCAACAAACAAACCAGCAGTGGCTGCTCTTGCTGGAACCATCGCACTACTATAGCATCCGTACAGTTTTTTTAGTGTGATTCTTTTCTTTCACCAATTCTGGATGCTTCCATCTTCTTAATACTGCAGGTGGGTGTGTGAGTTTGGTGGCTGGGGCTATGGTTCTCTTTCAGGCCTTGCCACTTAGGCTCAGCAGTTCCATGAAGGAGTTAAAGAGGCTCTCCAGCCAGCCTTGGTTAGCCATGCACTGCTGCACCACCTCCTCCTGGCCAGGGTCCTCCGCTGCCTGCTCAATGCTGTCCGTCTGCTCAGGAAATAACAAGTCAGTTACATACAGTACAGTGGCCATGATGTAGTGCTACAAAAAACTTACCAAGGAGAATGAAACATGCATGGCGGTAACAGCTAACTAATGACTAAAGGGGAATATTTTTGCGTGTCTATCTGAGAAGGCCAAAGACATAGCCAAATGATTTCACACATCAAATTCCTATGCATAAATTTACAGCCGTACATCCACAGTCACAGCACATTCCAGTCCCTGAATAACTCATAATAGGCCATTTAAACTATGTTGGACAGGCCAACATTTTGTCACATTACTAACTGTGTAACATGTTTTTGGGCAAGGTCATACATGCAAAATTTACACAGGCGAAAAGTCACTTCCCATTAACTTCCATTCAGTGCAAGTCAAGGGGAGAATACAACATTTGCTTCCAGTGCCAAAGCAAATTTACATCTTGGCATCGTGTGGAGCCTCAACCAATAGCAAAAAAGTATATGTGGAGGGGACAGCTAATATTGTATGATATTAGCCACAACAAATACAAACTGCTCCAAATGAGAGATGCTGCCTGGCTGGCAGTGAGTCAGGAGACAGCCATGGAACAAGAAAATAGAAAATGTACCAATAACATCAAATTCTTTCGTATTTGCAAGATGGCGAACAAAAGCAAGCAAGCAAACTAGCTTTTTGTGTATTTTACATCTGGCACTGTCTTCAAAGTGCATCCAGTCATGGTAAATATGTCAGTTTAAGCATTTTATACTGATACAGATGGGGTATTTGAACAAAAATATTAACTAAAACCTTAACCATTAAGCATGAATGCAGCCATCCCTACCTCCTTCTTGCAATGCAGGAAGGTGTGATACTTGTAGTGGTGAAGGGAGTGATACAGACTGTAGATTCGGCAAGTTTCAATTGAGACCTTCAGATCCTGAAAAGGTTTGTGAAAGAAAGTGATTTAGGATTTTCTTTTGCATTTTCAAACAGGTAGAAGATAGATAGATAGATAGATAGATAGATAGATAGATAGATGGATAGATCTTTATTGTCCACCAGGGGTGGAACTTTGTCTTCGGCTCACCAGACACAAAAGACAACATTGTAAAAAGCGGACAACTACTTAGTAAAACAAACATACAAAATACTTAACACATTAAATCAGCTCATTGTCTGTGTAAGGGTTAAAACCCATGTTTTAGTTGCCAGAGGGACTCTATAGCGCCTCCTGGAGCTCAGGATTTTGAACTGGCTAAATAAAGAGAGGATGGAGAGGAGCTATCTGCCAAGATACTCTTAACCATTCACACAATCCTCGAGAGTTTATTGTTGGATGTACAGTTAAGATGACCATACCAGGCAGAAAGGTGAAAAGTTATAACACTCTCAACTATAATTTTGTACACTAATTCTAAAATCCGCTGACTAACACCAAGGCCACTCAGTTTCCTAGGAAGATAGAGTTCCTCTGAGCATCTCTTGAAAATATGCCCAGTATTTCGAGAGAAGCTCACGTGGGAGTCCAGATTTTTCCTCCTTACTGATTTCCCCACAATTTGAAAAAGCACTGCTGAGAATTAGAGCAATGTGTAACTGATAGTACCCTGAATGATAGTGGGTAATCTAAATAATAGTGAACAATAAAAAAAAAGTGACGTTTCATCATACTTAACAAAGAGTGCCAGCTGAGGGAATTTTCCTTTAATAAGGAACATTATTACTGTTTTTTCAGCCCATCAATAAGTGGTGAAAAGTCAATGTCCCACAAGAAGCTGGGCTCTGCTGTAGCCATTCTGGAACAGTGTGGTGTTCACAAACTTTCGGTAACCAACTTCAATAATATAATCAATTACTTTTTCAATCCACTAGATAATTTTTGCTGCAATTAAAATGATTGAAGCGAGATTAATAGACTGAAAACTTTATCTTACTAGATAATACAGATGTTGACGAAGTTTTCCCTCAGGGACATCATTTACAAAAAGGTAATGAATATATCGCAATCTATTTTATTGCATTACTCAGCAGGTCACTCACAACATATTTAAAATTACAATAATATTGTATCATGACTCAAGTATCATGATAATATCGCATCATGGAGCCTCTGGTGATTCCCACCTCTTATAATGTTTTTCTTCATGTGCCTTAATTTCTATGTGTGGCATGAATGTGTACATACACTGATCGGCCAAAACATTAAAACTTCTGACAGGTGAAGTGAATAACTTTGATTATTTTGTCTCAGTGCATTGTTCTGCTGGGAAACCTCTGGTTCTGGCATTCATGTGGATACCACCTGACATGTTCCACCCATTCAAACACCATTGCAGACCAAGTACCCCCCCCCCCCCCCCCCCCCCCCCCCCCCAATGACAACAGTACTCCCCAATGGCAGTGGCCCCCCAGCAAAACAAAAACTTTTTATATGCTGAAACTGTAGTGAGCAGCAACTGTGACATATCAAGATGTGTTTTTTAGATGCATGTATGATGGGTACTCAACCAGATAACATTGTAAAATCATTTATATATGTGGGATACAAAATATGTACATGGTGGTATTTTCCCCTTACATATTTATCAAAAGTAGCCCTGGTACAATATTGGGGTACACATGTACATATATTTAGGGACCTTGGCTGAAGGGCGAGGACCCTATTGTTTTTGTAGCGTTTATTATTTTTTCTTTCTTTCTTTCTTTCTTTCTTTCTTTCTTTCTTTCTTTCTTTCTTTCTCCCGCCGCCTCTTTAAACTGGAATTTGACCCCCTAAACATGCTCCAAAACTCACCAAAATTGGCACGCATGTCAGGACTGGCGAAAAATTTTAGGAAATGAAATAATGAATCCGAAAAGTGCCAAAATGGCCTCTCTAGCGCCACCTAGCAGTCTAGGCACACTAAAATGGCCGCTGCGACTTGTAGGAATGACGTAGAAAGATGAAACCAAAACTGCCTTGCTCGTCTCATCGAGTCCTACAAATCACGCTCACACCTCTGACCTTAACCCAACAGGAAGTGAGCTATTTGCCTTTCAATGTAAGATTTCGCCTCAAAAATGCTCTTTTTCAAAATTCCTTAAAAAATCAACTCCTCCTACACCGTTTATCATATGGGATTCAAACTCGCACACAAGACAGATCAACTCGTCCTAATCAAATATTCTGTATAACTTTTTCATTACTCGAATGGTTTAGATTTTATGGCGTCTTCCAGGTGATGTCTTACAAAACCTCCTGACGATTTTTTGTGCCACCTAGACACACTAAAATGCCCGCTGCGACCGGTAGGAATCCCGTAGAAAAACCAAACCAACACTGGCTCGTTCGTGTCATCAAGACCTACAAATCACGCACTGTAACTACTGACCTAAATCCAACAGGAAGTGCGCTATTGCCCTTTCAAAGTAAGATGTGGTTTTTCACAAATTTTCTCTCTCAAAAAATATTTCATCCTACACCATTTATCCTATCGGTTTCAAACTCGCACACATGACAGACCAAGCCCTGCTAAACAATTCCTCTGAACAACTTTGTCATTACTCGAACAGTTTGGATTTTATTCTGTGTTTAAGGTGACATGTCACAAAACCACTGTACAATTTTTATGCCACATAGACACAGTAAAATGGCTGCTGCGGCCCGTACGAATGCTGTAGAAAGATAAATCCAAAAATGGCTTCTTCAATTCCTCGAGACCTACAAATCACTCATTTACACCACTGACCTAAATCCAACAGGAAATGAGTTATTGCCTCTTAAATGTGACATGTCACAAAACCTCTTGACAATTTTTGCACTAAAATGGCTGTTGCGCCCGGTAAGAATGGTGTAGAAACATCAAACCTAAACTGGCTTCTCTGTCAACTCGAGACCTACAAATCACTCATTGACACCACTGACCTAAATCTAACAGGAAATGAGCTAGTGCCTCTGAAAGTTACATGAGCAAATGTGTCAGCTGTGAGCTAAACATTGTAAATGTCTCTCCCTTATCTGCCTGTCCCACTCAACTGCATGTAATTAGCATAACAATGGCTTCACTCTGACAGACACAAGCCTGTGTGTGTTGACAGGATAACATTGACCAAACTGACCAGCTCATGTGTCTCATTCCTACATTTTCCTAAATAAATGCCTGATAGCAAAAACATGTAAATACAAGATCTCCAGGTCAAACTCTTTTGCCTCATTTAGAATCTGAATCAAATCTGAAGCTACAACTGTGCTGCAGCACTCATGATTAAATACATGTAGTCCTGCTCAGTTTCTCCACTGACATTAACTAGTATATATTTGTGTCTATCTGCTGTTACTTATATCCTCACAGCAGCTGGTAGACATCAAGCACATTTCCACTAGGTCACATGATTTCAAATGACTATGGATGTGTTGTTTGATTGTCACACATGTCAGAGTTTAATTAGGTCACATGGCTAATGTCTACAACTTTAAAAATTTAAGCTCACACCACTTCATAAGAACCCTTTACATTTTTCAAATTGAGTTTGACAATGATTGCATTCATTTGTTGTACACTCAAGCTTTCAACAGGTCAAGAGGTTTTAAATTACTTTAAAAATGACCTTAAAAGTATTTCCATTTATTTGATCAATTTTATGTCTCTGAACCCAAGTGACTGACCTGGAGGGTTGCAGTAAATCACCTCATTTCAAGTACAAGTCAATAACAGTGTTACAAACATCAGGAAAGAATATACATCTTTGAGGAAATGATACATTCATCAACACAGTAGCCTCATCAAACACCTTTCTTTTGATTTAACTGACAGAAAAATTAAATGCTGTCTTTTTGATGCATACAACAATATGTATATTTAGTGCAATCTGTAACTCCCTCTGCCACAAACAGGAAGTATCTAAACGTGAGATATGTCATTCCACCACAGAAACAAGGATATGCAGCTCACTCATGCATTACTTTGTAACTATGACCGATACAACTGATGCATCAGCCTGCGTCCTGCCATTAAAGCAACAAAATCTTCATTTTAATAGGCGATCCTAGGGACAATTTGTGCCACTCTGTTTTTTATTTTCAAGACATTTTGGCTGTGGTAAAGGAATATAGCTCAAATTTGCCAAAGAATATTCTTCTTCTTTTTTTTTAAACTTTTAGAATTGTTATCTGAATTCCTACATTAGCCTAAATTGGATGAGCTACAAACAAAGTGACGTATTAGTGCCTAGAGACAGAAACCGTCCCATTGAAAACCCTTAACAATGCATTTTTGACCCCACATTACTCCTTACATAAACTAATGCATCCCTACGGTTTCATTTTGGACTACTGGCCTTTAACTTGTAATTTTTATATTTTCCCACTAGGAGGCGCCATTGTTTCACATTTTAAAGCAAAATTTCATCTTTTCACTGTGTTCTGCAGTTCCCTGACTACATAACCATAAGTGTGTGTTGCTATTGATGTTGGATAATTGTGAGTGACTAAAAAAGAAGATGTGTATGCTTGCGTGTGTGCGTGTGTGTATGTGTGTGTGTGTGTGTGTCTTCTTTAAGATGGCCACACTCAAGATTATAAACTACTTTAATCATGCAAAAGGATGACTAGCAAGAATCAAAACAAAATTGTTGTAGTGCTCACTGCAACCATAGTTTTAAGTATGAGCAGTAGTACAGGAGAAATAATTTTGAATCTCACAAGACATTACAGCAGCTGAACGTCAAGACACTAATTAGGGCAACAATACAATGTGTACAAGTCCCCCAAATAAACCTCTGCACCTGCAGCGCAGCAGAACGTCACACATTCACCTTTGCACTGAGCTGAGTAAATCCTGCAGCATGTAGGGGACTAGAAATACCAGCATGGTCATAACAAACTGGCAAATTATTGAACTGCAGGCTTACATGGGGCTGCTTACTTCAGCCTGTGTATACAGGTCCAAATATGAACCAACCCTCAGCCTCTATATAGTGTTGGCTGAAAGAAGCCTCATGAGGCATTTTCTTTATATTCTGAACCCACTAGATGGTGCTCTTGGTTTAATGAAAGGGGCTCAAAGAATGGCAATTCACTGTGATTAAAACCTTTTGTTGAACAAAAAGCACCATTTATTGGGCTGAGAAAATAAAAAAAATGATTCATGAAGCTTCATTCAACCATCACTACCTCTAACGTGAGAAATCAGTGCAAAGCATTTTGTGGGCTACAATGTACACATACTGGCATTTAAAGGGTTAAATTCCAAAAAATAAAATTAATGATTGATATGTATATTACAGGCTGAATAGTTTTAAAAGATTAACATGTTTAATGTAGAACAGTATTTATATAATATTTTTTACAGCAGTTTTAGAAAGGCTTGTCCTCAGGACCTCAATGTGAGTTATTTTTTTTTTAAAATCTGGCATTGCAAAAAAGAATAAATAAATAACAATGCATCAAAATCAATGTTACTGTCAATCATTGACCAAGCTCAGAACCTAATAATATGAACAATCAAATTCTCCTTGAATTAATTTTGTGGAAATTATTTCAGTTTTCTGTTTATTTTTTCTATTAAAAAAACAGTGGAGCCATGTAAACAAACTGGCCATTAAAGGCTTAAAATCCTCAAAAAATAATTAATATTTCATATGTATATTTCAGGCTGAAGTAGTTCATTGACCTAGCTCAGGGCCTAATAACAACTATTAAATTCTCCTTGACATGTATTTTATGGAAATTATTTAAATTTTTTTCCCCCTATAAAAACAGTAGAGCTATGAAACAAACCATTAAACAATTAAAATCCTCAAAACATAGTTAATATTTAATATGTATATTTCACGCTACAGTAGTTCTAAAAGATTGACTTGTTCAATGTGGCAAAAATATTAATATATTATATTTTTACAGCAGTTTTTGGAAAGGTGATATTTTCTGTCTATAGGGACTTGTACATTATTTTACTGAAAAAATTAAACACCACCTACAGTATATACCACCGTTTTCCATCTGTCACATACTACTACAACCTTTAATACTGATAACTCTGTTGCTACATTTATGATCATGACTGTTAATTACATACTGTATTGTTATCCAGTTAAAATTTATATTATGTACATATATATTCATGTACTTAGATCACAATGTGTTACACACAAAACAGGAGTACTGTCACAACAGGCCTTTGTCTTTTACAAAACATGGGGTACACTTCAATTCTTAACAGCATGACAAACACCATGTTGTTCACATTATATAATTTCTTTATCATGACAGTGTATTACATTTCAACGTGGATGTTGCATTCTATTGACATAGCTTGTTTTATCAACATTTTGCCTCTCACAAATAATTCAAAATCTCTACGTGAGCTGGAAGCCAAAAAAGCGTGAAGCCGAGGTCCCGACAACGCTGCTAGCAGCTTTAATTATATTTATATTTTATTTCTTTATTTATTTTTATTAAGAATATGAGCAACAGGTGTGGGACGTCACATGACTGGTTCAGACACTATGGGTATTTAGGATGGTGACTTTCTGTCATTTATCAGAAGTCTGAGGAAGAGCTGTCGGCTCGAAACATCACTCTGCCTAGTATCGTTTAAACATTTCAAACATTTCAGAATTCAGAACATCTTTATTGGATATAACTAACATCAGTCAGCTGACATTAAATTTTAATTTGATGTGACTGATAATTTTTCAACTTTGCTCAGACAAGTAATTTTATCAGCCAACTTTATGATAAAAATGTAGTAAATGTAGTGAGGTTAACTGCTTAGCTGTTCTGTAATAAATCCAAACATTCATCATCTTTGACATTAGTGTAGAATAAATTGTCATTTAACTAATGCATTCCCTACCTCTCTACTTTTCACAAGAGTATCATTATATCCTAAACAGCCACAACATGTCTGATTCATACTTTATAAACTTCAGTGAGCATTTTATCAGAAAGCCTGTCAGTAGCAGCCTCACCACAGAGCTGCAGGCTTTCAGGTGAGCTCTGATAATACAGTGTACAGTGATTCTCATCATCAACTCCTTGCAGCCGTTAGCCTGCAGTAACCCTTGGACCTGCAGCACCTTGTCATTATCCTCCTCCTCACTGACAACAAGTTGTAACTGATTTCAACATTCAGAAATTGGCCTGTTTGAGAGGGTTTCTTGTAGGGATGTCCCGATCACATTTTTTTTGCATCCGATCCGATACGAGTCCTTTATTTTTAAACCGAGTCCAATCCGATACTTTGCAAAGCATTAAAAAAAAGAATGCATCCAAGTTCTCCCATAAGGTTTGTTTTTTTATTTAAATAGTATCCAAAAAGCTTATCAGTGGTTCAGCAGCACAACATTTAAACAAATTAAATATCTTCTTGTCTTCAACAAACAAAATAAAACTGTTTTTACCTGGTTTCTGTAGAACAAAAGAATTATACTCAATTTTCAAAAACACAAATACAACTGTAATCAGTTTCAAGAAAGTATATATTTTTTTGACCAAAGAAAAGAAATGCTCCATTCCGTTCAGTCAGTTCAATCAAGTTCAAACTAAAAACTCCCTTCCGGGATTTCCAAATAACACACAGTTCACAGTTCACAGTTCAATTCAGTTCAATCCACACAGTTCGCTAAACAAAAGAAAATGCCACCCCAGGTTTTCTCGTAAACAAGGAGGTAAAGAAAATCCACTGTTTGCTCTGACTCAGTTTAGTTTCAAAACAATAAATCAACCCGGCCCTAAGGTTCCAAATAAGGAATAATAAAACGGAAAGTAACCCCCGGCTTTTGCCAACTCACGGGGCCGTGAGTGAATGCCGTAACGCTCCAGCGTTGTTTCGGGTGTGGAGGCTCCATAGGATCCCTTGATATCCGTGGCGGAATCTCTGAGGTGAGGCCGGTGGCCGGATGGATGATATTCCACAGTGAAGCACACCTATTTCGCGGACTTTGAGCGGTGTAAAATGCCGTGGTAGGCCAAATACACAGAGGACTTCTGGCTCATTTCTCACTTGTCATACTGCCAGGAGCGGCATAATGTAGTGGCCGGTCTACCTGGGCTCAGCTGATCGAGCCATCCCACTGGCGATAGCAACGGTGGGTGTGTCTGGAGGTAACGTTACCTCAATGTCTGGAGGTGAGCAAGCCATCAGCTGACTGTCTTATAAAAAAAATATATTTATAAAATATACAGGATCGCCACACTTTATACATTGGAAAGCGGAGGCAACAGTGAACAACATAGATGAAAAACCTGGCCATTGTTGTTGTTTTGATTTCTCCGATCTTTTACCGATTACCGATTTTGTAAAAATAACATGATCGGCGCCGAGGATCGGATCGGGACATCCCTAGTTTCTTGGCTTTCCTCTGGCCTTGATTTGAACATGGGTGTCTAAAAACTGCATGAAACTCCATAATTACATGTGAGTGAAAGCCCAGAAAGCTTGTGAAAGAACAATTGAGCTTTGACTATTTTGTTACATATTGTACTCTGTTCCCCAAAGGTTAGGAATGAACTTTCATGCTGTCATGCTGCATCTGTGGCTAACTTCCTGCACCTCACCAACTTCTCATTTTACACATGTAAAACCTCAAGGGCAGCATTGTGCATCGCAGTGGTAAGAACTACTCAGTGTAAAGGGCTCTTTCTGACCTGTTGCTTAGGAATACTCCTCTTGACCCGGTTAAGAGTTTTGCGGTTGTAGCCCTCTCCGCCAAGGTGAACTTTGATCACTCCAGATTCCAGTGGGTCTGCCGTCATTTTGGGGAATATATGTAAAGCCTCCTGGGGAGAGGAAAGCAGAATGCAGTCAAAGATATAAGTACAGCTCAAGTTTACACTCATAGACATGGGAATGGGATTGGTGTAAAGAAACTTCTAACAGACAGTAATTTGAGAGGTGCCTGTAAAACAGACTTGAAGAATGTGAAAAAGTTTTACCTGGTGCTGAACACTCATGTTGACTCTCCTCAACAACCTCTTTTTCTGTTCACTGAGCAGGCTATCAATTTTCCTCATGGGTGGGAGGTACAATTCATCTGAGGAGTTTAAGTAGTACAACTGTCACTACAAAGAACATCAAAATCATTAACATCTTACATTTGAATCACTGTCACTGACTATTATCATGAAAGACCTGCAAAGAGCTTTAAAGGCGCAAGTATGTTAAGTGGTTCCAGTGGTGGTTTTCAATACAACAGCACTGGCATGGAAAAAGATGTACCTCATATAAACAATACCTACACTGCAATAAATGCATGTTGCCTCCACCTCTTCATCTAAGCAGTTCACTAACTCATGTTCCATCCTATCCCTCACTCATGAACATGATCAGAAGTTCCTTGAACTCATTGCTGCAACTCATTACCTCCACAAAGGAGCTTTTTTTTCCTGGACTAAGGCCTCAGACATGAGAGATGCTAAGTCTCATCTCACCTGTGTAACACTCCAACATGCCCAAATGTATGCCAGTAGGATACATGTGCATGTTTCCCAAAGTCTGTTTTCTATTATTCACTGCCTTCTCACAATCCTTGTTTCACCATGGAACTGTAAAGCATTTTTTTGGCAGTATCCTGATTAGGGATTGTCATTAGGCGTTCTTGGATGAGAGGAACTTCTTCACAATTCTCAGAACCCTTCTTTATGTTGCATCTGCATCATAAAAAATTATGACTGTAGCTCTTAGAACACCTTTTTGAAGGACTCTTTTAGCTCCTTTTTCAGAATAGGTACTCTCCGGCAAAAGTGACTAAAGTGTGCGTTGACTTGTTAAACACAGCCAATGCAGCAGCGGTAGCCACCATTTTAAAAAACCTGTTAGCCATGTAAAGAACAGAAAACAGAAGGATCGACAAGTCCAGGCTTTACTGAGCGTATATGCAATGATGGAAATACAATGTGATTTTTGACTTGTCAAGGTGAATGTGATAGTGCTATACCAACCGCCAGCCAGCTTACAGTACATCACCTCAGCTTTCCTATTGGCTGTGCGGATACAAACGGAGATACAGCCCTTGACGGTATGTAGTTCTCAGGGGATCTCCATACTGGCCACTTCCTCTCAGAGAATCCCCAGAGCAATTTGGTTCCAAAACGCCTAGTGAGGCCAAGATCATTGCACTTACAGAAGTACTGTACTCATCAATGTATCCATTGCTACTGACTTCCCCTAGAGCTGCTGCTGTACCTTCCTCAAATTTGTTCCACTGAGCACGGGTCAGATCTTTTCACTCTACTCTATATTTCAGTTGCCATCACCAAGGACCTTCTGAACTGACATAAATGGAAAAGTAATCACATGCAATCTCTCTTTTTTTAAATCATTCCCCTCCCCAACTCTTGCCAAGGCATCAGAGGCAAATATCAAATCTATGCAGGGCATAGATTTAGGTGGTAAATAGAGATGCACGGATTGCAATTCACACCGAACTGCTGAAGAATGACTTTAACAGTCTGTTCTCCACATTAAAAGACTGTGGGAAGTCAATTTTCATCAGCGGCCCCCTTCCCACACTTGGCCGTGGCACAGGGCGATTCTCAAGACTCCTCTCTCTCCACTCCTGGCTCTGGGCCGCCTGCAGTTTGAACAGTTTTAACTTTATCGATAATTTTAACTTATTTTGGATTCGCCCCTCTTTCTACAGGCATGACGGACTGCACCTGAGCAAATTAGGTAGCTGCATGCTAGCAGCTAACATCGCGCACACTGTACACACCATGGAAAACAAGCGTCCGTGACTGTTTACATGCCACACACCCTCCTCAGTGCATTCCTCTTCTTCCTCTACATATCATTCTGCGAGTACAGGCTCCCACAAACTCTCCCCCTACAAGGTCCAACTGCAACTGCCACTAACCTCAACAGCCAGCTCCAGGTCAAATCCCAAACATCCTACAGTTCCCAGCCCTTCACAATATGTTTCCACCGATTATGTTCTCCTTCCCACAAACATTCCTGTAATCATCACTGAAAGAACCTACTCAATCAAGCCTTACTTTGCTCACAGACGTGCCCAGAATTTACTACCCATTACTATTCCTCCGTCCTCTCAAACTGTCCTAAAGCAATGTCTGCAGCAAAGCAACGGCTCTATTCAACACACGATCTCTGAACAACAAAAGCCTCATCCTGAATGAATTCATCACTGACAACAACCTGGATCTTCTTTGCATCACTGAAACATGGTACCTGGACTATTTTTTACTTAATCAGACCACACCCACCGGATTCACATACACTGACAAACCTCGCCCTGAGGGCCGTGGAGATGGTGTTGCTGCTATTCATCGGAAGGACATCAAAATAACCACCATTTCCATCCCTGCAGTTAACTCATTTGAACATCTTGTCTTCAAACTCTCTGGTCCGACTCCCCTGGTCTCTGCCATCATCTACCATCCCCAAGCCACACCCCTCCTTCCTGTCTGATTTTTCTGGGGTTTTTTTACCCAGCTCTGTGCCATTTCACCTTCTGTTCTCCTCCTTGGCGATTTCAATCTCCACATTGATAATACTGTCTGCAAATCTCCCACAGAATTTCTGGATCTACTACATGGCTTCAACTTGACACAACATGTAAACTTCCCCACTCACTCGCATGGACACATTCTGGATCTGGTCTGCTCAACTGGTCTACACCACCTCTCCAGTATCAACCTCCATATCTCTGACCACCTGGCAGTCACTATGGACATAATATCCAAACCCATAAAACGCACAATATCCTTCAGAAATCTCAAATCCATCACTCCCTGAGCTCTCTCAGCCTCACTCACCAGCATAATATCTACCTCCCCTCCCCCGTTCTCTGACGACCCCACTGACCTTGTCCACTATTATAACACCGCCCTCTCCTCCTGCCTAAATCAATTGGCCCCCATCAAAACTAAAACTGTCTCCTTCACTCACTCTGCCCCCTGGTACACCCCTGAGCTCCACGCCAAGAAATCCCGAAAGCGTCAGCTGGAAAGACTCTACAAGAAGACTGGCCTAACAGTTCACCTTCAAGCCTACACAGACCACCTGCTACACTACAAGAACGCACTCAACACAGCCCGGTCCAACTACTAGTCTCATCTCATACACTCTGGCTCCAACAACCCCAAAACTCTTTTCTCACAAAAGCCATTACAAGTATGAGTAACTCTACATCAGTTCACGACCCAATCCCTTCCTCTCTTGTTAAGTGCTGTCTCCCTTCTATCTTCCCACTCATCTCCAGAACCATCAATAGCCCCTTTTCCACTGCAGGAACTTTTATCAATTACCCGGAATTTTGAAAAACCTCTGCGCGTTTCCACCAAAATTACCCGGGTAAAAAAACTTTCCCTCAACCCCAAATTTACCCTGGAAAAAGTACCTAGCAGGGGGTAGGACTTTTCACATTACCCGGAATTCTTGAGGGGCGGGGCTCTTTGCAGAAGAACACTGATCGGTGGAACACACACACTTCCTGGTGCAGGCAGCCGCTGCAAGCTTTATTTCATTTCTACAAGCTTCACTTTGTTTGTGTTTTGATTAAGGATGGGTACCAAAACCCAGTACTAACTTTGCCCCGGGGCCATGGGCAGATCTACCGGGGTGGCATAGGGTGGAAAATGCCACCCTAAAAGAAGGCCATGCCACCCCTGCTGCCACCCCAGTTGGCAGCAACAAATTCAAAGGAAAGTTATGGCCAATTTGACATTTACGAGTGCGAATCTCCGATGTCCGACTGCAGTGAATGCAGCACGAGATAACGCCAGAGCAGCAAGAGACTGCTTTGTTTGGAAAAATGAGTGGAGCCAGAGGGGTAGCCTATTCTAGAAAGCAGGTTTAGTGAAAACTCTGAGTATGTTAACCCTGAAATGAGGGAAACTCTGGGTTTTCAGTTCCAGAAAGAGAGGTAAATCAAACTCTAAATCAATCACCATGGCAACTGAGTCTGTGAAGCAGGTTAGGTTTTTCTCTGTCTCCTCCCTCTTACACGCTGTTTCACTTCTTAATTCATTCAGTCCGTGTCAAAGCTTGTATCGAAGCACATTAATTAGCGGAGATTTACCGTCTGTCACAGTATAAATCCTGCTGGATATTAGTTTGTTATTCAGGACTGTCTTAAGTTACTGAATTTATGCACATCAATAATTTCTTTGGACATCAGTTTTTGTCTTTACATTCAAATATTACACAGCGAAAATTCATCCTCAGCTCAGAATCAAACCTCTGTCCTTTTTATATTTATTATTTTTTATAACACTGTGCACAAGGATCAGACTGTCAGTCTGTTAGAGCAGCTCCGAAATGTTGATTGCACATAATGTGTAGGTCTAATTATTTAAATTTTAAAAATCGGTATGAAGCTTTAGTTAGGTAGTATCAGTGACTAATGATCTCTATCACTGATGTCATTTGCCGCACTGATGGAACATAATTCCTATAGCCTAATATTGGGGATTATATGTTAATATTTCTGAGTGAGCAATGGTGCAGCATTTCAGGGTCTTTAATTTACTACATTTGTAGCTGAAATAAAGTCACTGAATGCTGTTGAGTCAAGATACAAATAGATGTCCAACATTTTAAAATCTACTGTATTTTAACCTCAACATCTTTTCAAGTGCAAATCACCAAACATATTATTACTGGGTCAGACTGTGAGTTTACAGTCATGTTTTTATGTCTTTGATCTATAGCCTAGCCTATATGTTTTAAATCTTCCTATTTTTCAGTTGCTACCTCTTGTGTTTTTCCCCATCAGATTAAATCTGAACAAATATATTATTATATATTATTAATATAATGTAATGTATCTACAGCCTGATACACAGTCAGATTCCACCACTTTATCTTCATTAAGGAAATGTAAGTCTGATAAATGATGAATAAACGGACAACACTGAATAAAACTTTTTTATTAGCTTTATGGTTAACTTATTTACACTTTCCTCGATCTGACTCAGGCTCTTCTTTTAAAGGGAAATTTCGGTTTATTTCAACCCGTCTCCTATCGTCCTAAATTTGGTTCAAGTGACTAGTGACATACAGATAATAGTTAGCATGTTAGCCATTAGCCTAGATACAGCCGAAGCATCAGACCTGTTAAAACCTAAGAGAACGGGCATCCCTTCAAGTGCAAAGTTAGTCCACTAAGCAAGCTTTTTTCCACAAAGACCGCCTCATATCGTTAGGATAAATGTCAGAGAACATATAGAAAACGACATGTAAACGTGTTGTCTTACCTTACCAGTGTGCTGCCATGTTTGTTTACAATGTAGCTCTGCTCTCCAAAGCGCGGCCGAAATATCGCGAGAACAAGCAGCGATCTCATAGCGTGCCTGAACAAGCAGCAACAGCTGGAAGGCAGAACCAGACGGTCGCCTGAATGGAGGAGGAGAGAGCGAGGCGCAACAGGTAACGTTAGAGGACGAGAGAGGAGGAATGGCTGCCACAAGGCTTTAGCTCTGGAGATTGGTGGTGTACCTGTGAATGCTGTGCCCCAGTGCCCAGAGAAGAGGAATGCCTCTGTTGCAAGGAATGGGACCGGTTGCAGCCTTATTTTCAAGGTCTGGATGTGACCGAGGACAAGACACCTCCACCTGGAGTAGTATCCAGCTGGGCTTTATCTAGAGCTGGCGAGATATATTTCGGCTGCGCTTTGGAAAGCAGAGCTAGAGGGATAAACAAACATGGCAGCACACTGGTAAGGGTTTACATGTTTACATGTCGTTTTCTATGTGTTCTCTGACATTTATCCTAATGATATGAGGCGGTCTTTGTGGAAAAAAGCTTGTTTAGTGGACTAACTTTGCACTTGAAAGGATGCCCGTTCTCTTACGTTTTAACAGGTCTGATGCTACGGCTGTATCTAGGCTAACGGCTAACATGCTAACTATTATCTGTATGTCACTAGTCACTTGAACCAAATTTAGGACGATAGGAGACGGGTTGAAATAAACCGAAATTTCCCTTTAAAGATAAACGTGCACCGCCTGCTACACATGCATTAATATCTCTACATTCACTGGATTAAAATGGAGGCGCTGTCTTTTATTTACCTGTTGCCATGGTGAATCGTGGAGTAGGAGCTCCATTGATGATGGCTTTTTATTGTCGGCTTAACTCAGAGTGAACATACTCAGAGTTGACTGAACTAACTCAAATCAGCTGTTCTGGAACCGGTAACTCAGAGTTTCCCATCTCAGGGTAAATCAACTCAGAGTTCAGGGTTAGACTCAGGGTTTGTTGAACCTCCTTCGACACTTACTCCTAATATGAACTGTTTCACATGAAACCTCAAATGCAAGACATTGATTGCATGAGATTAAGTTTGTCTGTATGAGTTTGTAAATGGCAGCCCGTGCCCTTATGTAGTGTGAACATACTATTTCTCATCAAACTGTGATAACTGTGATTAAATTCAGTATATATACCGCTGCCATATGTTGCCACCTCTCAAAAATTCCTGCCCCCCTCTTGCCACCCCATAAATATTTTTCTAGATCCGCCCCTGCCCGGGGCTAAATGATTAAAGACCATAGTATTGATAAGTTCAGCAACATGAACATGTAAACATGTAGACAACGATATTCAATACGCTCCGTCCACAGTCTCTCATCCACCAACACTAACGTTATGTCTTACACAACAACAGCACGCTAGTTCAGCGAATTGTTACTAATAAGCTCAAATGACAGCTGTCTGTATGGAGACTAACTTAGTCTGACACGTATCTTAAAATACTTTTAAACTTAGCTTCTGGCTGAGACAAACAGCCCCAACTCTCTACACCAGCACGTAACTAGCCAAGCTACCAGAGCCAAATACAGGGCACACACCGAATCATCTACGTCATCACGCTAATTTGAAAAAAATTTCTGGAACTTGAGGTGAGGTGGAAAGGCAAACCACACAGATTACCAGGAATTCTTTTACCCAGGTAAACAAATTCCTGGTAATAAAAGTTCCTGGAAATTTTGGTGGAAAAGGGGCTAATGCCTCTCTCAGCTCTGGCTTAGTCCCAGATCCTCTGAAACTTGCCACTGTCACCCCTATCCTCAAAAACCCCAGACTCAATCCCGACATCATGACCAACTTCTGGCTCATCTCCAACCTCCCCCTTCTGTCAAAAATCCTCTAACGCATTGTTGCCATTCACCTCAAAACCCACCTCACCTCCAACGACCTATTTGAGACGTTTCAATCCAGATTCCGGTCACAACACAGCACTGAAACAGCTCTTCTCAAAGTCATCAATGACCTCCTCCTCTCCGCCAACTCTGGACACCTCAACATCCTCATCATGCTCGATCTCATTGCTGCGTTTGACACAATTAACCACTCCACCCTCCTCTCCCGTCTTAAAACCTGTTACAACATCACTGGCACGGCTATCTCCTGGTTCAGATCATATCTCTCCAACAGACAGCAATTCATCCACATCAATAACTGTTACTCTTCCACCCTTCCTCTGTCCCAAGGCGTCCCCCAGAGTTCTGTGCTTGGGCCTCTCCTTTTCATCATTTACATCTTCCCGCTTGGTAACATCATCCGCCGACATGGCCTCCATTTCCACTGCTATGCCGACGATGTCCAGATCTACATTGCCACCAAATCCATCACTACAGCAATCTGCTCCACACTTGAAAATTGCCTAACTGAAATAAAATCCTGGGTGCAAACTAACTTTCTACAACTCAACTGTGACAAATCAGACAAGATCATAATCAGCCCCCAGTTCCCTCACTAAAACCATCCATTTCCAATTTCAGCCTTAATGTTGCAAATTCCACACTTTCTCCATCTCCACATCTACGCAACCTTGGAGTCACTTTCGACAACAACCTTTCATTTGAACTGCACGTTAATCATATCACCAAAACCACTTTCTTCCATCTAAAAAACATAGCTCGGCTCCACCCCTCACTCACCTTCTCAGCTACAGAAACTCTGATTCATGCATTCATCACATCCAGACTTGACTACTGCAAGCATTCTGTATGGTTCATCTTCTAAAGTCCTCAATAAACTACAGTACACCCAGAACTCTGTTGCCCGTCTCCTCACCCAGTCCCACTCCCGCGACCATATCAGGCCTGTCCTTCAGAACCTCCACTGGTTCCCAATTCCTCAACGCATCCAGTTCAAAGTCCTTCTCTTCATCTTCAAAGCCCTCCATAACCAGGCCCCATCTTACCTCACTGACCTGTTGTACTGTCACACCCCCTCCCGCAGTCTCCGCTCCTCTGATGCAAATCTCCTCTCCACCAAGCACAAAACCAGGGGGGACAAAGCCTTCTCCACTGCTGCCCCCTCCCTCTGAAACTCTCTCTCCCAAACATCCGTAACTGTATAGACTTAAACTCCTTCAAATCTTTGCTCAAAACCCACCTGTTCAGGCTTGCATTCAATCCCCATTCTTGCTCTTAACTGTGTTGTACTGCTCTTATGTTGTCTTTGAGTGTTTTGAAAAGCGCTATACAAATAAAATGTGTCATTATTATACATATTATTATTATTGTTATTATTATTATTATATGCTTGGAACACCTCTAACAGGAGGTGTCCAGGAGGCATCCTTATCAGGTGCCCAAACCACCTCAACTGGCCCCTTTCGATGTGAAGGAGCAGCGGTTCTACTTTGGGCTCCCTCTGGATGTCCGAGCTCCTTACCCTATTTTTAAGGCTGAGCCCAGCCACCCCACGGAGAAAACTCATTTCAGCCGCTTGTATCCACAATCTCATTCTTTTGGTCACTACCTAAAGCTGGTCCCAGCGCATCACCCGCATCACTGCAGATACCAGGCCAAAACGCCTATCCATCTCATGCTCCATTCTACCCTCACTCTTGGAACAAGACCATAAGATACTTGAACTCCTTCACTTGGGGCAGTAACTTTCTCCCAACCCAGAGAGGGCAATCCACCGTTTTTCGGCAAAGAACCATGGCATGAGACTTGGAGGTGCTGACTCTCATCCTGACCGCTTCACACTCAGCTGCAAATTGCCCCTGTGAGTGCTGGAGGCCATGCTGTGATAAAGCAAACAGAACCACATCATCTGCAAAAGGCAGAGATGCAATTCAGAGGTCCCCAAACCGGACCCCTTCCTCCCCCTGGCTGCATCTTAGGATCCTGTATGGGAACATGAACCCTGGCAGAGACCAGCACCCACTGCCATAATAACCTTCAAATTAATCTGAACTCATTTGTCATGCAACTACAGTAAAACACTAACCAAACATTACTTTCCAGATTCTATCTTCACTGTGACCAGATCAAGTTTGGGAGTCTACAATAATTAATGGAAAAGACATGGTGACTGTAAGGTAGAGAAAATCAGGCCCGTCTTCCGCGCTGTTTGGATGTTTTGGAAAGAAATGTACCAAAATAGGTATATATCCAATTTAATCATGAGCCAATAATTTGTGCATAACCCATGTATTTTGGTAGGCTACAATAATGTGACCAGTGCGCTGACAGGAGAAAGGAAGGAAGCAGTCCCAAGTGGTCTATAAGTAGGCAGGGTGGGGTGGTGGATGGGCCATTAAACACAGGACTTTACCCTTGAGACCTTTATTCCAAACGGTGTGAACTCTGAGTGAACTATGTCACTTTAAGGTAGGTTGTCATCTTGTTCCTCTCCCAAACCAAACCTCTGTAACATTACATTAATTATATGACTTTAAGCCAAGGACATGGCATCCTCTGTGGGTCACTTATTTGTTTTTTGAATTTGGATATCACATAAACCATTGTATGAGGATATGTTGAAAAAATACATTCAACCTGACACTGGCTGAAAACTGTCATTTGGTATTAAAGTGACAACAGTTTATCTCTGGACAATTCAGCTGTTTTCTCAACTTATTCATTTATATTTTCATTGTGTTCCCAAATCTGAGTGCTCACCATCAGTGTCCTCCAGTGCTTGGATCATGTCAGGGTCAAGCGCTGTACTGACCAGCATCTCCACATAGCTCCTGAACATCTCCCTCATGGCTCGGTTGTTAACTCCAGCCCGCACAGGTCCTGAAACACAAAGAAGCTTCACTGAAGGCCAGAACACAGAACACACTGACCTATGGGAGATTTATTAATATGCGATAAACAAATCTGTGTGTAGCATACACTCACACACACATAACAGCTGACCTTCATCATCACTGGGCACGGAGGAGTCAGACTCAGAGGAGGAGAATGGCACCTCCTTAAGCCACTTCTTCCTCTTCTTGGGAGGAGGCTCCGCCTTGTCCTTTGAACTCTTGGCTCTGGACCGATCCTCCATCTTCTTCTCTCCTCCTCTCTTCTCTTCCTTAAACCTTGAGAATTCCACTGTGCCATCTCTCCTCTCCAGCTCCTCTCTCTCCCTTTTCTCTTTCTCCTGATCCCTTTTTTTCTCCCTCTCTTTTTCCCTCTCTCTTCCCTGCTTTTCTTTCTGCTCCCGCTCTTTTTCTTTCTCCCTCTCCTTCTGCTCTTTCTCCTTCTCTCTCCGCTCCCTCACCTGTTTCTCCTTTTCTCTCCACTCCCTTTCTCTCTTTTCTCTCTCTTTATCTGTTCTTTCCCTCTCTTGTTTCTCTCTCTCTTTTTGCTCTCTCTCCTGCCTCTCCCTTTCACTTTGATCCCTCTCATGTTTTTCCTTTTCTTTCTGTTCTCTCTCCAGTATTTCTTTTTGCTCCTTCTCTTTCCACTCCCTCTCCTGTCTCTCCCTTTCTTTCATCTCCCTATCCTGTTTCTCCTTCTCTCTCTGCTCTCTATTCCTTCTATCCCTCTCTTTCAGCTCTCTCTCTTTTCTCTCTCTCTCATATTCCCTTCTCTCCCTGTCCTTTTGCTCTTTCTGTCTTTTCTCCCTCTCTTTCTGCTCCTTCACCCTCCTTTCCATCTCCCTCTCCTTCTCCCATTCCATTTCTTTTTCCTTTTCTCTACACTCCCTCTCCTTTTGCTCTCGTTCCCCTTTCTCCCTCTCCGCATTCTCTATTTCTTTCCTGTCCCTCTCTTTCTGCTCCCTCTCCTGTTTCTCCTTCTTTTTTTGTTCTCTATCTTCTTTCTCTTTCCTCTCTTTCTCCTTATGCTCCCTTTCTCTTTGTTCTTTTTCTCTTTCTCTCTGCTCCTTCAGCTCTCTCTCTTTCTGTCTCTCCTTGTCGTCTCTCTCCACTCGAGGTGGGGTTTGATTGTGAATGGTGGGCAGCTGTTTAGGTAGTGACTGGCGTCTGTCAGTAAGTAAGTTAAAGAAGAAAGACACTGTGTGAATGAAGTATCCATGTCTTAAAGGAATAGTTAAGATTTTTTGAAGTGGGGTTGTATGGGTTACTTATCCACAGTCAGTGTGTTACATACAGTGTTACGTCAGTCAGCACGCTCCCAGTTTGAAGATGCAGGCTCGAACATAGAAGCTAATCTATCTAATCTAACAGGACACAGACTGTTAGGATCCACGGCCGCACATCCTCACCCACCACCCTTAACACCGGTTCCTCCCAGGGCTGTGTATTGAGCCCCCTGCTGTACACACTGTTGACATACGACTGCTCGGCAGGGTACCCGAGCTGTCATATTGTCAAGTTCGCAGATTACACCGCGGTTGTGGGACTTATATCCCACATGATGAGACAGAGTACAGGTAGGAGGTGCAGCAAGTGGAGGTCTGGTGCAGAGCAAACAACCTCTGCATAAATGTGGCGAAAACCAAAGAGCTGATGATCGACTTTAAGGTGCGGACACACCAAATTGACATCAAAGAAGGGCAGCGAAAGCCAACTGTTGCGTCATCTACGTCACCTCATGTCGCCTCACGTCGCCCTGTGTCAGTTGCATTTGAACACACTACACGGACTACATCCGCTGGCCAAGTGGCACGTATGTTCTGCGCCTGCGTGAGAGAGAGCGGAGTGAGAGAGTGGTACATCCTGACAGCCAAGGTGTTACCTACGTGTGTAGCCGAGCACCGCAGCACCTCCACTGGCTATTACATTCAGACGGTCCCGGTGTTTCCTCTGCAGGCTGCCCGATAAACCTGCTGCTTCTTCCCACTTTAACCTGAATAACAAACCAGGGCTCGGTTCTCCGGTTGGATCCAAACGGAGAGCCGGGGCTAGCTGGGAAGCTAGCAGAGGCTAACTGGCTGTGCTTCCCTCCGTCATGCTGCGCTAGCCGCTCCTAGCTAGCCCCAGCTAACTGGCTGTGCTTCCCTCCGTCATGCTGCGCTAGCCGCTCCCAGCTAGCCTCGGCTCTCCGTTTGGATTCAAACAGAGAGCCGATTCAACATGCTCAATTGGCCGAAAGCCGCCGACGCTGAAGGGCTGACGGTGATACGGAAAAAACGCAAAAACTAGGCCCACAGACGCTCACCGACGGCTCGACTTTGGTCGATGGCCAACCGTTGGCTTGGTGTGTCAGGGCCTTTAGGAGGAGCAGCCACCCCCCCCCGTCGCCCTTCATATCGGAGGAGAAGCTGTATAGGTGGTCCCCAGCTTCAAGTATCTGGGACTACACATTACAAATAACTTCACCTGGTCTGCCAACACAGTCAGTGTGGTCACGAAGGCCCATCAACGTCTTTACTTTCTAAGGAAATTAAAGCATGCTGGCCTTGGTTCCCCCGCCCTTGTTGCCTTCTACAGATGTGCAGTGGAGAGTGTCCTGACCCAGGCCATTACAGAGCAGTATTAAAACAAGGACCTCACGCCTCATATTCAGTTTCTTTCCTGAGGCAGTCAGACTTATGAACAATACATAGCCCACAAGCCGAGCTGACTACATTGCATAAATTGACTGTCACTTCCTTATTTATCTATGTGTTTTTATCTTATTGGCTCTTTGCCCCTCTTTTTAACTTTTCACTGTTTTACCTTTCTATCAGCCAGCCTGTTCCAACAGGAAAGCTGCTTCAGTTTCCTATCTATGCACTTGTCAAAGCCACCAGACTTCATGGACAAAAACATTTTAAACAATCATTTTAGCTTGGTTAACACAGGAGCTGCTGGTCTACTGCTGCTTCCATCAGTTAGTTAGTTTGTGTTACTGTGTGAATTTGGTGAATCCAAATGAACCCTTTTACACAACAAAGTCATACAATAACACAAACAAACTAACTGCTGGGGGCAGTGGTAGACCAGCAGCTCCTGTGTTCAGCAATGTTAAATTACTGTTTTTCTCAGTGGAGTCTGGTTTGGAAGAGAATGATATAACAGCTTAATTTTCCTGTTGGAAATTACTGTCTGACAATAAGGTGAGGCAGTGAAAACACTCTTAATGTATTGTACACTTAAACTGAAAATGATTTCATAAGGTGGGACTTTTTTTGGTGGCTTGTATTTCATTCTGACCCCTCCACAGCAGTAGGTTAGCTTCCATGTCAGACTCCAGCCTGTTTCTCTAAACTGGAGGCTTGCTGACCGACATCTACTTTATGTTATATACTGTCTATGGATAAGTACCCCTAACAACCCCACTTCAAAAAAAGTGAACTATCCTTTAAGGCAGAGGATGCTAGTTAGTTATTTGAAATGAATTCAGACTCAGCTGTTGACAGCAGTATATATTTTTGACAGATGTCACTCTGAATTTGGTCCAGATCTGTGGCTGTGAAGGGACAGTTCACCCCCACATCATAAATATATATATTTTTTATCTTACCTGTAGTGCTGTTTATCATGTTGGAGATATCGGCCATAGAGATGTCTGCCTTTCCTCTAATAAAATGGAACTAAATGGCAGGAATGGCAGTTTGTGTTGCTCAAAGTGCCCAAAAATATTTATATAATATAAATAACCATATAAATTAAAAAAAATCAACAGCAATGACCTGGTTACTCAAGATAATCCACAGACCTTGTTGTGAGCAGTTTCATTTAGGAACTACTTTCTTTCTTTCTACCTAACTACATCCGCCAACCATATCACCATGCAGAAGGAAGTGTGCATCTACTCATGCACTCTTATACAGAAATCATGCAATAGGGCCACAACAAAGACCCTCTGTTATCCTATTTTTTACAGATCCAAACAAAAGCGGCATCATGCCGCCTCAATATGTGATTTTTGGCGTCCCTGAAGCAAAAGAGGCGTAACGGGTGTGACATGTAACACAACAGCAGCGCTCTCTAAACAATAACAATCATATAATATGGCAAAAACAATAATTTACAGTCCCTGTTATATAGCAGCTGATCTCATCCTCTGGTCAGAGGGTAAGAACCTCATTGTTTTCCATTTTTTTCATTTTCAGTTGCTGTTCTTCTTTGAGGGACGGCACAGTGGTGTGGTGGTTAGCACTGTCGCCTCACAGCAAGAGGGATCCTAGTTCGATCCCAGGTGGGTTCTGTGCGGAGTTTGCATGTTCTCCCTGTGTCAGCATGGGTTTTCTCCGGGTACTCCGGCTTCCTCCCACAGTCCAAAGACATGCAGATTGGGGACAGGTTAAATGGTGATTGTCTGTAGGTGTGAATGTGAGTGTGAATGGTTGTCTGTCTCTACATGTCAGCCCTGCAATATTCTGGCGACCTGTCCAGGGCATACCCCACCTCTCGCCCAATGTCAGCTGGGATAGACTCCAGCCCCCCCGTGACCCTCAAGAGGATAAGCGATTAGAAAATGGATGGATGGATGGATGTTCTTCTTTGAGTTAGCTGTTGATTACAGCTAGCTGCTTTTTAAATCTATCGGCAGTTGGTTGCACGCATAACACGTTGTCAAAATATCACACTCCTTCCATCCTGCTGGTTGTCCCTTTTACACGGACATTGATTTGTTGCTGTAACCACATCTGCTACCAGTTTAAAGGAGAGACAACTCTGTCTCCCCTATGATGGCATACATTCCCGCCTTTATCAGGGAGTATAAAAAGGGCTACTGACGAGAGGCTCATGCCTGTGACAGAACAAGATGTAAACATTAATGGTGTCCTCATCGGCTGAGATGTAATTTTAGCTAGCTCAGTGGTGCTAGGTGAGTTAACAGTAGATCCATGTTTCCTTTTGCGTATCAAATCAAATCAACCATTGTTTATTCAGGGAAAACTGACTGAGCAGTAAGCTCTTTAACAGCAATGCCCCGAGTTAACCTTCAATGGGCTAGAAGGATACAAATATATAAGTGCAATAAAGTGACGAAGAAAGTCCATAAAAACAAAATAAGTAGCAGTAATGTCTTTCAAGAATTATAAACAGCAATGAAAACAGTAAAAAGACAAAAAAGTTAAATAATTAAGAATGGAGTCTGCCATAAAGGACAGAAACATAACAACAACAATAAAAGACCGTAATAGGTAGAAAATCATGTCTGTCAATTAACCAAAGCAGCAACACTGTAAAACAACCATATCATCTGGCATGTACTTTAAATGATCTACCGATACATACCTATCCAATTTCAATACCTCTTGCAACTTGTTCCATTTGCGTGGTGCGAAAAAACTAAAAACTAATTTACCAAGCTCTGTACTGATCTGAGGGGTTTCAAGGGATAAAAATTCCTGTGATCGTGTGCGATGAGAGATGGATTTGATTTTTAAAAGAGAAATGAGGTAGAAGGGTAGCTTTCCAAGCAATGCCTTATAAACAAAAAGGAGACAATGTGTTTCCCTTCTATCAGTGAGAGAACACCATCCTACATTCTCATACAGCTCACAGTGGTGAGTTCTAAAACCATCCCCAGTAATAAAATGGAGAGAACTGTGGTAGACTGTATCAAGAGATGTATCAGGTGACTGTATCAAAGAGATCAGGGTAACCAAGAGGGGCTACAGTGAGAAGCTAAAAAACAGCTTCTCAGTCAACGACCCTGCGTCAGTTTGGAGAGGCCTGCAGGACATTACCACCTAGAGGAGACCATCCCCCCACACTGTGGAAAACCTCCAACGAGCAGATGACCTGAACCGCTTCTACTGCAGGTTTGAAAAGGCACTTTTCACACATTCCAACCACACAAAGGGATTATCTGCACCCCCAGCTCCACCCTCCCCCCATACCTAACCCCCCACCTGCACTAAAGGTCTGTGAAGAGGATGTGTGTCGGCTCTTCCAGAGACAGAAGACCAGGAAGGCTCTGGGACCTGACGGTGTTTCTTCCTCCTGCCTGGGAGTCTGCTCTGACCAGCTGGCCCCTATCTTCCTCCTGCCTGGGAGTCTGCTCTGACCAGCTGGCCCCTATCTTCACCGCATTTTCCTGACCGAACCCGACCCGAGTCCGACGCAGTTTGTTACCTGACATA